TGCTGAAACTAAACCAAGATGAGTTAAACCAACTTAACAGACCAATATCAAGCATCAAAATAGAAACAGCAATAAGAGACTTCCCACCTAAGAAAAGCCCAGGACTGGATGGATTTACAGTGGAATTCTACAAGGCCATTAAAGCAGAACTCAGGCCAATACTTCTCCAACTCTTCAATGGAATTGAAAGAGAAAGTTCACTACTGAACTCCTTCTATGAAGCCATTATAACCCTCATCCCAAAACCAGGCAGGCACTCATCAAAGAAAGAGAACGATGGACCCATTTCTTTGATGAACATCAATGCAAAACTTCTCAACAAAATTTTGGCCAATAGATTTCAACAATTCATCAAAAAATCATAAACCATAATCAAACAGGATTCATTTCAGGGATGCCAAGCTGGTTCAATATATGAAAATCAATTAATATAATTCATCATATCAACAAGAGCAAGGACAAGAACCACATGATTATCTCAATAGATGCAGAAAAAGCATTTGACAAGATCCCACACCCCTTTACAATGAAAGTTCTGGAAAAACTAGGAATCCATGGAACATTCCTTAACACAATAAAGGCTGTATATGACAAACCTACAGCAGCATTACACTTAATGGTGAAAAACTAAAGCCATTTCCTCTTAACTCAGGAACGAGACAAGGATGTCCACTCTCTACTTCTCTTCAATTTAGTAATAGAATGCCTAGCTACAGCAATAAGACAAGATGCAAACATAAAGGGGATCCAAATAGGGGAAAGATTAAGTAAAACTCCCCTCTTTGCAGATGACATGATCTTGTATTTAAAGAATCCCATGGATTCCACTCCCAAATTACTCAAGTTGATTCGAAATCTTGGCAAAGTAGCAGGGTATAAAATTAACCCTCAAAAATAAATGGTTTTTCTGTATGCCAACAATGAGAAAAGTGTGGCTGAAATCAGGAAAGCAACTCCTTTTGTAATAGCCTCATAAAAAATAATATACCTAGGAGTTAATTTAACTAAAGAAGTGAAGGACCTCTATGATGAAAATTTTAAAACCTGAAAAAGGAAATCCAATCAGGACTTAGGAGTAGAAAAACCTCCCATGCTCCTGGATTGGGAGGATTAACATCGTGAAAATGGCAATACTATCAAAGTTATCTACAAATTCAATGCAATACCTATAAATATTCCAGCCTCATCCTTCAAGGAAATAGAAGAGGCAAGCCAAAAATTAATATGGAACAATAAAAGACCCCGAATAGCAAAAATGATCCTTAACAGAAAGAATAGTGCTGGAGGAATATCAATACCAAATTTCAAACTCTACTACAAAGCCATAGAAATCAAAATAGCTTGGTACTGGCACAAGATCAGATCTCAGGACCAATGGATTAGAATTGAAAACCCAGAAATGAACTCACAAACCTATAGCCACCTAATCTTTGATAAGGGAGCTAAAAATATAGAATGGAAGAAAGACAGAGTATTCAGTAAATGGTGCTGGTAAAATTGATTCATCACCTGTAGAAAAATAAAGCTAGATCCATCTATATCATCTTGCACCAGAATCAACTCCAAATGGATCAAAGACTTCGGAGTCAAAGCAGATACCCTGAAAACAGTACAGGAAGGAGTAGGAGAAACTCTAGGTCTCCTTGGCACAGGATGAAATTTTCTTAATACAGACCTAGAAACACAACAAATAAAAGAAAGGTTGCACAAATGGGATTTCATGAAGCTGCAGAGCTTTTGCATGGGAAAGGACTTAGCTAGAAAGATGAATAGAAAGCCCACAGATTGGGCAATAATCTTCACTAGCCATGTAATGGATAAGGGTCTCATACCTAAAATATACTTGAACTCAAAAAATTAACTCCCCCAGCAACAAATCCTCAAAGAAACAACTGCCCGATAAATAAGTGAGCTAAAGACTTAAAAGAAACTTCTCTGAAGAGGAAATACGAATGGCCAATAGACATATGAAGAAATGCTCAACCTCTCTAGAAATTCAAATCAGAACAACATTAACCCCACTTAGAATGGCTATAATCAAGAACTCTAATAACAACAAATGCTGGAGGGGATGTAGCCACAAGGGAACCCTACTGCATTGTTGGTGTGAGTATAAACTTGTTCAACCACTTTGGAAAGTAGTATGGAGGTTCCTCAAAAGACTCCACATAGAGCTCCCCTCTGACCTAGCAATCCCACTTTTGGGCTTCTACCCAAATGATCACAAACAAGGCAATACTAAAGCTACCAGCACAACTATGTTTATTGCAGCATTATTTACCATAGCTAAGATATAGAACCAATCCAGATACACCTCAGTAGACGCATGAATCAAGAATTCTATTCCTCCATCAGAAAGAATGACACTGCCTCATTTGTTAGGAAATGGAAAGACTTGGAAAAAATTATATTAAGTGAAGTAAGCCAGGCCTAAAGAAACATAGGTCCCATGGTTTCCTTTATTTGCAATAACTAGTATATGTCTGGTACAAACAGACAAGGTCAAAAGCTCCGTATATATGACCATATAAAATGATGTTAAGTGAAATGAACCTCAAGATAGGGACATAAGAGGCTTTACCTTTTTTGTTGTTGTTTTTAATGTACTTATGTACTATGTGATTTGTTTTGTTTCTCTTGTATGTTCTTCCTCCATGGTATAATCCCTGTTTTCACTGTATTTGATTCTGGTGCCCTGAATCTTGTATATAAATTTTTTCTAATTTGGGGAGAGGAAGGAAAAAGCAAAATGTTTAAATAAGGATACAGGTTGACCCATTGTAACAATGAGATGTACAAGACAGTATGTTGAAAAATGAACTTTACAATTTAGGTGGGGGAGCAGGGTGAATGTAGTTGTGGAGGTGGTGGGAGGGAAGAGATGGTAGAGGAAAAACAAAAGAGGAGGTAACAATGCTTGATAGTAAATATTACCTTGCTCATGTAACTATAACCCCTCTCTACAGTATTTTTACAATAAAAAACCTATATAAAATACATTGTGTATGTATTTCCTATACCTGAACCTATGCTGAAGATATCAATGTACACCAGGGACAGTGGCTGCCATGATGGTTGGAGATTTCTGCCCATGAGTGTGGGTACAGCAAGCCAGGCACAGAGGTATGCTAAGCTGCGGCCCCAGGTAGTACCCACACTGTAGTTGACAGTTACAGTAACGTTGTACCAACTGCCCTTCAGACATGAAGGACTATCAGTGGCTGTCTGTGAGTTGAAGGTCAGTATTATCTGTGCCTGTGCAACTCCCCAGTGTGACCGATGAAAAAGTCATACAGAAACAAAAATGCCACTTGGAGAATGGCAGTGGGTTCTTGAGAATTGACTGAAGAGTCACCTTTGCCCCACAGTGTGCTATTCCGGGTATATGACTTGATGGAGAAAGCTACCTAAAGGTTGGAAACTTACCACTATGTTTGAGACTTGGCGAATCCTTTCTTCTCCAAACCCATCTCCTGAGAGTAAGAAACAATTTATTTTTGCTAAAGGACCACCTACCCCATAGTGGGATGGATACCAAATGGGGCCAAGTCAACTTACACAGTGGTGACCTAGACCCCACTCCAACTAAATGGAACATACTTGAAATAGAGAAAAGCACTCTTGACCAGTCCATTGCCACAGTTGTTGAAATAAGCCTTAGGACCTGTACGGTATATAGCAGGTAATGCTGCCCTTTCCCTCCATGTGAACACAAATGGGGTACCAGAAGCCTTTCCATTTAGGGATGGGACACCTCCAGGACCTGCTGATGCTTGGTAGAGCTGGGACTAGCTCAGGTACTATGGTGCACTAGACAGCTGCTACAATCCAGCCTTCCACAGACACTATCTGGTATGATACTGGACAAGGACAAAGCAGCTGATAAACTGACTTGTATACTTTCCTTGAATGAGAAATGCCTTTTGACAATTCATGCAGATCTTTGGGCTGTAGATTAAGGTCTTACCATGTGGATAGCCTCATAGAAACTAGGCAATTGGACAGTATGATATTGTTCCTTATAGGGACAAGCCTTGTGACAAGATCTATGAGTGTTCGGACACCAGAAGATAATAACTGTGATGCATATATGACAGGGTATGTGCTTTAAGCTAGTCCAGGTAAAGAATAAGGTGGGTATGGTTGTGAGAGTTCAGTGGTTGGAGAAGGCTTTTTCTACAGATGTGGCCATGTGGTTACACTGCCAATTAATCCATGCTGGAGTAAAGACCATGTGGCCTACTATGAAAACCTGGAGAATGCCCACTACTTAGGAAGCTATACAGGAAGGAGGTTTGCAAGAAGTGTACTGTTTGCTCCTATGAGCATGGGAGTGGAGGAGGGTCAGATCACTAGGGAGTGAATCTCACTGACCTGCTGTCAGGAAGATTATAGTGGAACCCATTCCAGGCCAATGGTACTGGGTAGGCACTTACAGTCATTTATATATGGCTACTGCATTGTTTTTGTCTTTACCTGTCAAGTTGTTAATCAAAAGGCTATGGTTCAGACTCAGTATGCTGACTCGGTATTGGCAGTCCCCTAGTGATAAAAAGTAATCAAGGGACACACTTCACTGGGTAAGAAGACTTGACTAAGCAGTTGCAGACTGAATAGAAATTGCATGTGCTCTATCATTTCTAAGCAGCAGGGATGATAGAATGGTAGAATATATTGCTGAAACAGGAACTGTGGGTTGCCATGTGTCCTCCATCAATGAAGAGATGGACAAAGCACCTATGACCGGTGATGTGTGCCCTAACTGAAAGAGCAAAATGGAGGCTTTGTTTGGTGAAAGCTGTGCTGCATTGTACTGAAGTTCTCATCCAGCTTCAAGCAACAACTAAAGTTATCCTTTTGAAACTCTTATTGCTAAGCCTAGATGGAATGTTCTTGAGGCTACAGATCCACATGGATACAGGCCTGGAAAGTTAAAGTGCCCCATATGTGAAAGGTGGCACTAATAGCCCCTTAAAGAAAATACTTAGAAATGGACTTACAGGTTACCTCCTGGGTATCAGGAGCTTGACCCCTCCTTCCACCCTCGGCTGCCATGTTGCAAGTTTTATTTTCCCTTAGGCCCTGAGGATGGGTTGTAGATCTTGAAGGGAACATTCAGTGCACATAATACCACCAGACACTGACCTCATTGCATGAAGTGTATCAAATGCAGAATGTATCATTGCAAGACCACAAGGCCCCAGATCTGCTTATTATGGCCCAGGAAGATGTATGAGTCAATTTAGGGTCCTCTTAGCATTAATTGCTGGCTGCTTAGGGAGAAGGGCCTGTCTCTTGGTAGCATGTTGCTGTAGTTTGTACTGATACAGTGGTGGGTGGGTTCAGGGGTCAGTCCTCCTTGCCAATGGCTGATGTATGGATTGTATGGTGAGAAATGCTGAAGCAGTGGTCAGTAAAAATACTCAGTCTCCCTCAGTAGAACTTCTGGAGGGCCCTGGCACTGTGCTTCCAAAGTCCTGTAATCCAGTTTATTCATGTCACCTTGAGGTCAACTGCCATGTTTATCTAGTGAGGATTCTGTTAGAAGCTTATGAATAAAGCATGACTCTCATTCCTACCATGACTTGTAGCTTCTTTTGACTACCCTAATCATACTTCTACCTGGAGTATAGAGTTTACAGTATACCTCTGCTCTCTCCCCCTTTTGCAATTCCTGAGGATATCACCCTTATATACCTACCTACACACAAATATTTTAGGTACTGTATCAGCAATCGACACACTCCACTCCAATCCCCCACAGTTTCCCTTACCCTGTATTTCTTCCCTTACATTTACTCATCTTAATTGCTAAGTTCAACTTCTACAATATCAACTCAACTAACTTCTCAGTTCCAACAACTGATGAAAGATTGTCTTCTCACCACAATGAACCTGTAAAGCCCATTGTTTCACTATCTAAGTTTAGCATAGACATTATTATGTAAGCAAAAACACTTGCTCAGTTTTTAAGCCTCTGCCACAGGTCTGCGGGGTCAACAAAATACTTCTGAAAGCATCTGTCTTCACCATGCTTTGAGCTTGCAGATATTTAAGTAGATGTCCTTTTCTCTTTCATCGTCTCCCCACCCATCCCACACAGCTTGAGTCCCATGCACAAGCACCAGCATGGGGAGCTGGTACTGACTGTTAGTGGGGTTCACCAGTGCCCACCAGATTCCAATATGTGGGATTTGTGAGTGAGTTATGTGGCCCCCTTCCCAAGTATTTTAAAGGATGAAATTGAGCATATTAATAATTATCCTGGTAACGAGGCATTGATTAGGAGTCTCTTCAGCAAGCCAGGCAATGCAATATCATTATATTTATGTTTATTTTTTAAAATTAACAAATTTTTATAAATAACATTAAAAAACATAATCCATAGAAAGGCATATGTGAGATTGTGAAATACTCCAATGTTTATTCAGTCCTTTCTGACCCTTGCTTCCATCTTCCAAGTAAAGGTAGCATCTTCAGTTTTTCTCTATGCAGAAACAAGCAAATATAACTATTCTTAAGTGCTTTCTCCAGATTTTTCCATGTCATGGCCAGAGGGGTGTCATTACTTGGCAAACAGTTCTGTGGCATTCCCTTATTTATTCAACCAGTCTCCTACAGATGTGCTCTTGATTTGCTTTATGTCTTTTGGTATTATAAGCAGAACTATGAAGAATGAACATTGGAGTACACTTTATGTATGCATAAACTACATTCATGTATTATATTTATTTATTATATGTACTATATTCATATATTGTATTGTATTTGAATATAAGCAAGATAAATACCCACCAATCAAATTACTGGATCATAGTTAAATGAGTGTATAGTTTGCACAAGTACTGTCAACTTTTCACTCAAAGTTTATTATTTCAAACCCTCATAACCAATGAATGAAAAAACGTCTATTTCCTGACCATCTTTACAAGTGATTAAAAGCTTCTGTTTTCTTTGTCAATCTAAAAACTGAGAAAAAATATCACAAATGGGGTTAGGAAAGTGGCTCAGTGGGAAAGTGCTTGCCTTACATGGATGAGGCCCTGGGTTTGATTCCTCAGCACCACATAAGCAGAAAAAACTGGAAGTGGCACTGTGGCTCAAGTGGTAGAACAGTATCCTTGAGCTGAAGAGCTGAGAGACAGTGCCCAGGTCCAGAGTTCAGGCCCTACGACCAATAAAGAAAACTCATAAGCTAGTTTAAGTTGAATTTTACTAAATTTGTATATATTTTCATATCTTTACAGGTCCTTGTTTTATTCATGCCTATTTTATAGTCTATCTCTTCCACTAAAATTGAGCATCTTGAGGATGAAGGATGGGAAATGAAAAGTGATCCATAAATGTAATGAATGAATGACAGAATTACTGTAATGGTCCTTCTTGTCCCAGTATTTTAGCTATACTTTACCTTACCTTTTTAAACTAAGAGGTTTTTTCTTTTAAAGTAATATTGAAATTGCTGATAAAACAGGACATTTACTAAAAGTTTTAAAAATCACCTATAATTATGAAATTCTGGTATTCATGTCTTCCTTTGTAATCATTTCCAACAGCATTTTCAGTGGTCTCTCTTGTTAAACTGTGAAATGCAGACATCAAGGCTTTGCTGCAGACAGAAGATAAATCATTTGAGAAATTGAATTGATTTGTTTCACTTCCTTTTGCGCTACTTCCTGTCTCAGAGGGACCCTTAGTGGAGCTAGTGACACTCTGCAACTCCAGGGAACATTCAACAAGGAGCCCTGGGGAAGCCAGCATTTCCAGAAACAAGAAATATAAGTAAGCAGGGGCAGAAGGGCGCCAGAACCATGCTTCAGATTCTTCTGTTGGCAAGTGGTCAGATCATGGACACAGAAGGTACCGAAGAGATAGGAATAGAAGAAGAAAAGAACAAGGACAGAGGTTTCAACGTCTTGTTGAGCCAGGTTAGGTATTAGAGGAAAAAAACTCAACCAATATGATTGTCGATACCTTCAAAAGCTATAATAATTTCCCAACTACTTTAGGGACCCACAAATAATTTGTCTTGTATGTATTTTAGAAAACCAAAGCTTAACTTCCCCTTTTTTAATTTAAGAGAAGAGGAAGCTGAGGTGCCATGTGAAGTTCCTCAATCCAACGTGCATTGCCAATTAGTGTCAGACCAAGCTCACAGCCAATTTCCAACTTTAGAGAAGGCTCTTTCTTACTGGGATGGGGGAAGTTCTAAAACATGGTTTTACTCTTTGAGAATTCCTAGCACATGTCTTCTTTTGGGCTTAAGCATTAGAAGGAAACATATGAGTGCTAGGTGGAAAATAATGTGGCCCCTTGGACACGAGATTCTTGAGATTATTCTCAGAGCCTCTGCATCACTTTCATTTCCTTCTAGTTCTTACCAGAAGAATTCTATGCACAGAGAAACTTACTGAGAGATGTCAAAATAACCCTTTTCATCACTTTTCTTCTTTTACCACAGCCTAATACTTCTGCTTATTTTACTGTTAGAAACTTTTAATAAAGCTAGTTGGAATGCTTTCCTTCTCCTTAATCTAGTTTCGTGGATCTCTGGAGCCCAATATCTCAACATAGATCAGAATAAAATGAGGTCACCTATAGATGCTATGATCTGGGATAATCAATTTCTGCTTTTAGAGTTGTAGTTCCTCTGTTTGATAGTAAGGCATTTGTTAACATGGCTCTGTAACGTGATCACATTTGCTTGCCTTGTCATCAGAAATATTTCCTGAAAAGAGGAAGGGGTTTGAATATTTCATCTTGTGCCTTAACATCTAATTCCTGGAAATCATGGATCACACCAACTATACCTGGACCCCAACTTTCATCCTGACCGGTTTCACCACCACCAGAACCTTACAACCTCTTGCCTTCTTGGGGACCCTGTGCATCTATGTCCTCACCCTGGCAGGGAATTTGTTCATCATCATCCTGGTGAAGACAGATTCTGCACTGTCCACACCCATGTACTTCTTTATCAGTGTCCTCTCCTTCCTGGAACTCTGGTATGTCAGCACCACGGTGCCCACCCTACTGCACACCCTGCTCCACGGGCGTTCTCCCATCCCCTCGGCTGCATGCTTCCTCCAGCTCTATGTCTTCCACTCCCTGGGTATGACTGAGTGCTACCTGCTGGGTGTCATGGCTCTGGACCCCTACCTGGCCATCTGCCGCCCACTGCACTACCATGCACTCATGAGCAGACAGGTCCAGCTCTGCTTAGCAGGGAGCACTTGGGTGGCTGGCTTTTCGGCTGCACTTGTGCCAGCCAGCCTCACTGCCTCTCTGCCATTCTGCTGGAAAGACGTAGCCCATTACTTTTGTGACCTGGCACCATTAATGAAGTTGGCATGTGTCGACACAAGCTGGCATGCTCAGATCCACGGGGCAGTGATTGGTGTGGCCACTGGCTGCAACTTCGTGCTCATTGTGGGACTCTATGGGGGCATCTTGACAGCTGTGCTGAAGTTGCCCTCAGCTGCCAGCCGTGCTAAGGCCTTCTCCACTTGCTCTTCCCACATGACGGTGGTGGCACTGTTCTATGCCTCTGCCTTCACAGTCTATGTGAGCTCACCTGGGAGTCGACCTGCAGGCACGGACAAGCTCATCGCCTTAGTTTATGCCCTTCTTACTCCTTTCCTCAACCCCATCATTTATACCCTTCGCAACAAGGAGGTGAAGGAGGCTGTGAAAAGGGTCAGTGAGAGGATGAGGGCTATTTGGAGAAAACCCTGAGGAACACTTGTTGGCATAGTTCACATCCTGGGCAGTTATGGCTAGGAGAATCAGTCATTTGTTCAGAGGTTAACACACATAAAGTAATCAGATTATTTATTAGTCCATATGCTGGAAATACCTAACCTGAACTGGTCAGAGGTAACATGGAGAAGGAAGGTAGATTTTGTCTCTGAATCTTTTTTTTTTTTGCGGTCCGGTCGTGGGGTCTGTACTCTGGATCTAGGCGCTGTCCCTCAGCTCTTCAGCTCAAGGCTAGCGCTCTTTGTCTCTGAATCTTTCCCAAGGTAATAGACATGATGATGAAAAATATCACAGAA